TGAAGCAGTTGAACATCTCTGCGCAGATTCGTTTTTGGTCAGCCGCAATGAAGATCAGATGCAGGTACGATGAGTTTTAATTTAAACAAGTTTGTTTAGTGATTCAAGTTGATTTGAAGTGTGTAGGGATGACTGAACTTTTTATTTTTTTTTATTTTTTTGTTTGGATTTTTTAGGCTGCCATGGGGACATTGGATGGTATCATTGACACGGTTTCTGCACTCCACCCTCTATTGCCTTTGATTGGTTTGTTGAAGTCTCACGGAAAGCTAGTGATGGTTGGAGCACCAGAGAAGCCTCTTGAGCTTCCTGTTTTTCCTTTGCTTGTGGGTAAGCATGTATTTAAAATAATGCATTGACATGTTTACTTCCTCAATACAAATTATATTTCCACTGAGGGATGGAGGATTTGTGGTATGACGCCTTTACTTTTTAAACTGTGTAAAGTCGTTGGCGGCAATTCTTTACAAGAGTATATTTTGCAATTGCAGGAAGGAAAATTGTAGCTGGCAGTAACATTGGGGGCATGAAGGAGACGCAAGTGATGATTGATTTCGCAGCCAAGGATAACATAATAGCTGATATTGAGGTTATCCCAATGGATTATGTGAACATTGTCATGGAGCGCCTTCTTAAAGCAGATGTCAGATATCGATTTGTCATCGATATTGGAAACACATTGAAGTCTACCTTGTAGATTTTGCATCGATGCATGTAGAACCGAGTCCCCTTGGGTTTTTGTTTCCTTTTTTGTCTGAAGAATCAACTTTGTTTCTGGTTTTTAATGCTTTGTATCACATTATGAGCGGAATGTAATAGTGCATTTTGAATTTATGAATAAATACAATGCATGTATTTGAGAATTATTGTCGTGCGCGATTTGTTTGGTTTGTCTAATGCCCCAAATGTTAACATGGATCTGTAAATATTCTCCGACAATTCTAGGATTGCTAAAAGGTTTTTTTATTTTTATTTTTGGTCGAAGCTGGAAATTCATTACCCGGGAAAAAGCGAATAAGTACCAGGAAAGCTGAAGTAAGGCTAACAAAAAGCATAAATACAACATAGTAAGGGAAAATGTTGAAGATAGAGACTTCTAGACGCTGCACTAAGTGCAAGACGTCACCCCACCACTTCCTCGTGGACTTGGCTAGGCGGAGGACAAGGGAGGTCGTCCTTGTTAAGGATATGCACCAGGGAAGATGGAGGTCTAACTACCCAAGTGCCAGTATCCATCTCTTAAAGGTTTCTTGATGCCAACTTATCTGCCACCATATTAGCTGATCTTGGGATCTAAGACTAGGGACAGACTTGAAAAGACTCCCCCATTTGTGCGATCTTTGTTAAGGTCGGGAAAGCTTCCCAACTACCAAGGTGAATAGGCCCTTGAAGGCACGAAATAACCTCCAGCGAGTTCGATTCGACCATGATTTGGGGTAAACCCAGCTCCTGGAAAAAACTTCAACCACCAAGTACCGCTAAGGCCTCTGCCATCGCAACAGTAGGAGCAGAGATATTGTCCACTCTTTGTTGTGAGAAAATCCCCCAAATGCTCCCTAATAACCACCCCTATCTTACCACTTTTCAGGTTAACACACCAACTGGCATCAATATTCACTTTGTATAATGGGGGGGCCGGAGGGAGCCATATTGGTGGGGAGCCATTCGTGACATGAACCAGGGGAGGAACATGCACCTCATTCCCTGCAAAGAGAATTTGTAGCATATAAAGTTGTATAGATAACCTAAATTGGGGAGGGTGGTTTGAGGTTAAAGACAGCTGAGAAACGAGCCTTCCATTTTTTCCAGCAAGTAAACCAATTGAAGTCTATAATTTGGACTTCTCCTTCTTATTTCTCCCAATTCCAGAAACCACATGTTTCAGCTGAGAACCCAAGGCAGAAATCTGGTCCCTTTGTATCCGCAGGTTAAGAGGGCACCAAATCATACTGAAGCAACCCGCAGGCATAAGAATGATAAGTGCTCCACATATTCTTCCCCTTGGTTACAGATTGGGCATAAGGTCGATGAAGTAGGAAGACGTTTGTGGAGAAATTTGTTGGTTGCAAGGCCATTCCGAAAAGCACTCCACAAGAAATTCCTAATTTTTTAGGGTGCATGGAGCATCCATAGTTTCTTCCAAACCCTACCATCAACCGGTTATGACGCCAAAAGATGACCCAAAGTAGTAGCCCGACCTCGACTTCGTAACCAATGGTAGCCCGACTTAATCGTAAACCTTCTTTTTTTTTCCCACGGCCAGATAAGACGATCATTTCTACAGTGGTCACAAGGGCAGTCTGCATGATTGCAAAGTGATCAATTGAGGGAATGATGGTTCTAACGTCCTCCAAATCCCAAGATGGGGAGATTGGGCAAATGATCGAGTCCACCGTCTAACCCAAATTTACTTGGGTATCCTTCAAAAGGGTTGGATGGCCATAACTTGATACCATGCCTAATCAAAACCTATCAATGAGTACCGTCCGATATGATTTTCCTGCCTTCCAAAAGGCTTGCCCAAGCCCACGAAGCTCTGGACCCTTTCTTAGCTTCAAAGAATAAGGAGTTGGAGAAGTACCAGGCCTTAAAAATCATACCCAGAGTGAATTCGGTTCATTGATAATCCTCCAACTCTGTTTTGCAAGCAAAGCTAGATTGAATTCTTAGAATGATCTAAAACCCAGACCGCCCTCACTCTTAGGAAGGCCCATGGATTCCCAACTTACCTAGTGGATCTTGCATTCCTCATTCTTTTGCCTTCACTAAAAGTGAGCAATTATAGCATCAAGGTCATTACATGTGGTAAGTGGGAATTTAAAAATGTTCATCAGGTAGGTGGGAATCACCTACACCATCACTTTGATAAGCACCTCTTTCCCAACTTGGGATAAAAGGTTTTGCTTCCAACCTTGAAGTTTCCCCATGACCCTCCCCTTGATGTACCCTAGAGCCTGGCTCTTAGAGCGACCCCAAATAGAGGGAATGCCGAGGTATAACCCTAGATCAAAAACAAAGGGCATACCAAGAATTGCTGAGAGTTCCCCATCCAAGCCACTTGGAATGTTGACACCAAAAAAAATGCTCGACTTTTGCATGCTGATTTGCTGTCCGGACCAGGGCCAGTCCTGAGTTTTTGGGTGCCCAGTGCGAAAAGCTTAAAATGTGCCATTTTTTAATACGAAAATATATGTTTAAAAAAAAAATTTAACGAGGGCTGGAACCCAGTTGAAGCTGGGGGGCTAGGCCCTCACGCCCAAATTATAATACATAAGAAAATATACAACGGGGGGGACATAGTACCTAAACCCCGACAATAAAAAATACAATCATATACATCCATTCCTAGCAAAGCTCCTTGAAATTTCAACCTTTAAGAAATTGTCTTCTGGCATTTTTTGAAGCAAAATCATCAATTATATCATCATACTCCAAGTCTTCAATCTCATCCTTTTCAATGCATAAGATTGCTAATCCATTTAGCCTATCTTGAGTCATAGTGGTCCGCAAGTAAGATTTTAATAACTTTAATTTTGAAAAACTTCTTTCTACAGATGTCACGATCACAGGTACAGTCAACAGTACACGATAAGCAATCAAGACATTAGGACACATGTCGGTTTCTTTTACAAAGTTTGCTATTTCCATGGATGTCCAAGGGTTATTAGAGAAATGCTTCTTTAGGTAACATCATTTGCAACACCTGTAATTCGGAACATAAGTCGGCTCCATCTACATCCATGGTATTTCCATGTTTCAAATGTGCTTCAAGATTCATACAATTTTCTTTCAGTTGTTGATCCAATGAAATTAACTTCAGTGCATCAAACAAGAAGCCAAAAATAGATTCAAAAAGCCTTTAATTGTTCAAACCTGTGTTTCAGTTGAGAAAGAGCAATATCCACTATAACAAGAAAATAATCTGTTCTAAATGATTCTTCAGCAGAATGTTGTTCCATCTCATTACCATCAACTTCATCATGATGTCTTTTTCTAGGTCTATGACGTTTAGTTTGAAAAACAGGGTCAATTTCCGAATCAAGTGCAATTTCTTTAGCATCACTCATGGCAGAAGCAAAACCAATTTCTCTGTAGTTTTCAAAAAAGGTAACAAGTGCTTCCAATGCCTTTACAGCAACATCAAGACGCATGTCTTCAGATTGTAATTTTTTGCTCACCATGTTAATCTTCAACAAAATGTCATACCAAATAACCAAACTTAATACAAAATCAAAATTAGAAAGTTCTCCTGATGCTAAACATTCTGCATCCCTACTCAATTGGGGATTCTCAATAATTTCCACCAACTTAAACAAAGCATTTCTAACTTGGGCTACTTGGGATTTAATTGCGTTAACACTTTCAATGTGACTTTCCCATCGAGTAGTTGACAATGACTTCAAAGTTAAACCATCAATATGTTCAAGCAAAATATTTCAATGCTTTGTAGAGTTGGAAAACACTGTATATATGCATTGACATGCTCCAAAAAAAGACTTTGCTTTAAGACATCAACTTGCCATATCACAAACTATTAAATTAAGACAATGAGAACCACATGGCATGTAAAAGGCTCTGGGATTTATGTCTAGCAATCTTTTCTGGACACCTTGGTGTTTCCCTCTCATGTTAGATCCATTATCATAACCTTGTCCCCTCACATTATCAATATCAAGATCAAGAGACTTTAGGACATCTTGCAACTCATTAAAAAGTCCTTGTCCTGATGTATCTTCCACACTTAAAAACTCCATAAAATACTCCTGTATATTTATTGACCTACTTGACAAGTCAACACATCTCAAAATTAAAGTCATTTGTTCCACATGACTTGCATCAGGAGTACAATCAAGAATGACAGAAAAAAATTTGGCTTCTTTTACTTTTTTAATGATTGCGGTTTTGACTTTTGAAGCTAAAGTAGCTATCAACTCATTTTGGATTTTATGGCTCAAATAGTGGTGATGAATCTCTTTATTCTCAATAAGTCGAAAATGCTTTTACATTATTGGATCAAACTCCGCAATCATTTCAAGTAAACCTAAGAAGTTGCCATTAGAGTCTTCATAAGGTCTTTCATTTGTTCCACGAAATGCTAAATTACGTATGGCAAGACATTTCACAGCAGCAATAATTCTAAGCATCACTTGTTTCCAATGATTTGTCTCTTTCTTGATTCGCATTTGAAATTCTTTATCAATTGTCTGATTTGTTGTCAATCTACTTTTTAACTCAACCCAAGTTCTCGAATTAGTGAGATGCTCTTTACTCTTTTCATGTTGGTCAAGCTTCACACCAAGATGTCTCCAATCACTAATTCCATCTTTTGCTAACTCACTTTTTGAGGCAATTGTTTTAAACAATTTACAACAAAAGCAAAAGACTTTATCCAACTTTTTTTTAGTACACAAGCCATTTTATATCATAAATTTCACCCGTTGGTAATTTTCGATCATAGTAGTGTGAGGAAAATTTTCTAGAGAGTTTGTCCTTAGGATAAGTGAGATTAGTTTCTCGAATTGGCCCATTTTCTACAAGTAAGTCTCTCATTTCTGCATTAAGACCATCCCAAACTCTTGGATCATAAATGTTTAAATGGAAAATAGGTTCAGGAGATTCAATATTTTCCTCAACCCCAATATGATCATCATCAGCATTTAAATCCACATCACCACCATTTTCATGGTCTTGAGACTCATCACCAACATTTTCTTCTAAATCACTACCGTTTTCATGATCATGAGACTCCCCAAAAAAATTTTGTGGCTCTTCACCAACATCATTTTCTCTTAAATTTTCAACTGACTCATTCTTTGTAGAGAAAAAATTATTAAGAGATCCTCTTAAACTTTCGGCAATTTCGTTATCCTTTGCCTTTTTTTTCCTTTTCATATTACCAGAGAGTTGTTTCCTAAAAGACATGGCTTCGATAATTTGTTTGCAAAAATTACCTACACATGATATAACAAAAATTTCCTATCAAAATTATCATTCCAACACATTATATATTATAAAAACACTAACACATAGTCTAACATATTATAAAAATTGAACCTAAAAATTGGGTTTGAAATGAAATCAAATAATTCAATTAGTCAATAATTTAATTCATCAACAACAACAATTCTATACATCAATTATCAATCCATCATATAATTCTATGTCACTTGCATTGCAAAATTTTGTATTAAATTATAAATTGATAATTCAAATTTTAAAAATTAGTTTACCTCAAAACTCAAAAGGGTTGGTGGTGAGTGAATGCACTTGCAACCAATGCTAATGGTGGTGGTGAATGACCTGGCTGCTGGTGCTGAAAAGGAACGGCAACAGGGAAAGAAAAGGGACGGCAGCAGGGAACAGGGAAGTGGTGGGGGAAGTAGGGAACAAAAGGGGGTGGGGTGAGGAATTGGGACCGAGTGGTCCCTGATATGTTTTGCTATTTTTTTTTAAATCTACGGCTGGGCCCTTGTTTTTTAATTATTATAATATGTGGCTGGGCCTTTTATAATCCTAGCTGGTCCCTTTTATAATCTGCGTCTGGGCCCTATTTGGGCTGTGAACAATTTTAATTTTTTTTTATACTTAGTTATTTGGGCTTTTTTATTTTGGTGCCCCCTTCATTTTGGGGCCCTGGATAGCTGCCCTTGTGGCACTGGGCCTAGGCCGGGCCTGGTCCGGACGCAGTACAATAAGACTTTATTATTTGGGTAATGTTTCTACAATTCTGGTGATTAGCCTTGAGAAATAACGTGTCATCTACAAAAAATATATAAGAAATACAAGGGCCTTGTGCTAAGCCTGATACCCTCAATAAATTCCAACTCTACCGCTTTTAGGATTAGAAGTAAAAAAACTTCACTGACCAATAGGAACAAGTAAAGAGACAGGGGATTGCCTTGTCGCAGGCCATGGGTGGGGGAAATTTTTTTACCTACTTAACCGTTCACCAGCATAACAAAACTTATAGATGAAACACATCCCATTATAACGGTTACCCTTCTCGGGTTAAACCCCATATTTAGCATAACTTCCCGTAAAAAGTCTCATTCAATCCTATCATATGCTTTGTTCATATCTAGCTTTATCCCCAGCTCAAATCTTGTTTTTGCTTTCCTTAACTTCAAAAAGTGGAACATCTCATGGGCAATAACAATGTTATCTTGGATTTGACACCCCTTAACAAAAACGTTGTGCATAGGATAGATCAGGTCCGGGAATAAGGGTTTGAGCCTATTAGCCAGTACCTTCGAAAGAACCTTATATGAATAGTTGCATAAGCTTATTGGACAGAACTGAGCGATCATCTCCGGATTCTGCACCTAGGGGACCAGAGCAATGTGAGTGGAATTGAGGCATTCAAGGCAGACATCACCATTCATGAGCTCTTTAGCCGCACCTCTGACATCTTGGCAGATTGTATCCCAGTTTATTTGGTAGAATACTCCTTGGAAGCCATCCGGGCCTGGAGCCTTGAGGACCCCCATGTGAAAAAAAAACCGCCTCTTTGATTTCCATATCAGAAAGCATTTTCGTTAATCTCCGAAGAGATTTTTTGATCGACACAATTGAGGATTGATCCCCAATCACATTGGCCTTCAGAAGTAAATAACTCGATGAAATGTTTCTCCACATGTTCCGAAATACTTCTTGGGTTATCCACCTACTAATCATTTTCAACTCGGAGCTTCATAATTTTGTTTTGCCTCCTCCTTTGCAACGTTGATTGGTGAAAGAAAGTCGTATTCATGTCCCCCTCCTTTTGCCACTTGATCCTAGATCGTTGGAGCCAATATTTTTCATCCTTTTTCACACAACCTGTCAATCTGGATAAAGAGTGACTCAATTAGAGCCCCATTTCATCCCCAATTTTTTTTTGCATTTCCTCTTGTTGTAATAATAAGGAACTCACAGCTGCCCCATTCGTACCAATGATCGAGGTGTCCGGCCAACAAGCCTGCCAATTCCCATTTGCAAGCACCCTATCCAAGCAGATCTCCACTAAACGTCCATTCCTGGTTCATTTCCATGTAAAATTTGGGCCCTTCAAACCCAAGTCTAAAAGTTCTGTATCGGTCATGAAGTGTTGAAGGAATCTAGTGCGATTATACAGCATATCAGCGCCCCCTGATTTCTCAAAATCCCAAAGAAATTCATTAAAGTCACCTCCGCACATCCACGGTAGGTCGCATGGCCCAAAATGCTGACCCATCCAGTTCCAAACACTACTTTCTCACTTCTATACAACGTGCCATACACCCAAGTTGCACGGAACCAATCCTGAGTACTGATATGCCTGCAATGGGTATGAATAACGTGTTTTGATGAAAAAATAACCTTCACTTCTAGGGAATTATCCCACCGGAGACTTAGGCTGCCCGCCACACCCTGCAGGGGCACATCGAATCCCTTCACAAAGCCCATCCTTCTACGAACCCCCAACAAAGCCACAGTCATATAAATTAATGATGAAATATATTCAAACCCCACAAATCAGTCCTTGGATCTAAATGGATAAACTCCACCACGGAGGTATAGTCACCGTTCAAAATGATAATTCCAATTTCTCAGCAGCAAATTAAACTCCAGACACGACATTTACCAAGTGGCAAGCAGAAAGCAGAAAATTGCCAAGCCAGAAGTTAGCTGTTTGATGAAGTGGTTCTTCCGGTATGCCAAGATTATGATCTTCATAAGCGGTCATTCACCATGAAGCAGAATGGAGTTCATATGGTAACTATTACAGCGATCTCACTAATATTCTTCAAGAACTTGATCAACCAAAGTCCTAGACGTACTCCTTGCAACAAAAAGGATCCAGATGCTATCTAAACCACACAAACAAGAGACTGAGTGTCTTCGAGTTTATTTTTTCCTTGCGGGATTAGGACTAACAGTTGATCACCAAAACTAAACTCTTTTTTAGATTTTCAACGAAAAATAGCATTATCCAAATGCAACTTTTTCGGATGTGAAATCAGACTTGTGCAGTCACAGTTATACCGTCATTTTGCCGTCGTACAACACCAAATCCCTTGTGGTGATAAATAACAAGATAAAAAAGAAGAAAGACAATATTTTGGAATTTTGGACAAACTTTTCTTGTACTTTTTTTAACTCATTTTTGGAAGGGGATTTCTTTATTCCAAAAATTTATGAAAAGAGTTTAGATAAGGGGAATTATTTCTCAAACTATACACATATATATCTCCAAGTTGCAGACTCGAACTCCATCCAAACAAAAACCATAGATACTTTTTCTGCTTATTCTTTCGAATATGAAGTTTGTTTTGGCTTGCTTAGATGTGTTTGAAATTTTTCGTGAACTAATTATATTATTAGTTTGTAGTTTTAGTTTTTGTGAATGTTATAGATAGAAGAAAATATAAGAGAATGAGGACCGGACAAGGATCAAGAAAGAAGGTGGGAGGGAGGAGGGAGAAGTGGTGGAGATTATATGCAAACAGAAACTTGAAAGTGAACACAATTTTAAAAAGTTTTTAGTTAGTTCTCTTTTAGATTTTGATTTCCAGACATATTCCATTCACATTAGGGTTCTAAGACTGCCAGCCCGTTACCAAGCCGCGGGTGGGGTCCTAGATTTTTTTTATTATAAATAGGTGCATACTTATACTTAAAGAAATACTATATTTGTATTGAGAAACATAAATGCAATAAGAAAATATATTTAAATTATAAAGTACCACAATTTATTGAAAACACATGGATAACAAAAAACTATGGCATAGAGAGACGATTGAACATCGCACACAGTCTAGGTTTTCGGTCTGTCTGATGGAAAGTGAGTCAAGGCTATAAGTCAATTTCAAAAAAAAAAAGTCACCTAGCCCACCTAACCCGACCTAGACGCAATAACCAATTTTATTTTATTTTAACAAATTATAGTATTACACTAAGGAGGTAGGAGAGTGGGCTAAGCCTTACAATGAGCTAGCAGTATTGTGGTTCAAATTCGCCTTTGGCAAGAATTGAACCTAAGATCTCTCACTTACAAGTGAAGTAGAATACTACTAGACTGTAGTACAAAATGGCTACCCAATTTTTTAAATGCCTATGAATTAATTGTGGCAGTAGCCAACTGCCTAGACTGCTTTTAGAACATCGGTTCACATCGGTTCACTGTTACTTTCACCATGTGTCCTTTACCTTTCTTCATTCCTAAATTCCTCAACCAAAAATAAAAAGGAAAACTAATGAAAAGGGCTTGAAAACTTTGAGTTTTAATGATAAGGACAAAATAAAGGGTAAAGTGAATAGTACCATGATTGATTTTTTAGTGTAAAAATGTGGTTTTTCATTAAAGTGAACAGTACCGGGTGCTTTTCGTTAAAATTCCCCATGAAATAAAAACAAATTGATTATCAAATAAGCCCTTAATTTTAATTTTGTATAAATTTGGTAAGGCCTTATAGAAATCTAAAGTATTTCACTGTGGAAGTCAAACTTGAAATTTACTAATTTGTTTTTGCTACGATGGATGTGATTGTTCTGCACATGCCATTTGGTTTTTTTTCTACGGATGATTGTGTATCCAAAACTCATCAGAGTAGTTGTATTAGTATCAATGTGTCCATGTTGTCCTTAACGTCAATGCTATAATGGTTATATATGCTCATTAACTTTTAGCTCAATTAGAAGTTTAGTCATTGAATTAAAAATTTGTAAGCATTGATTCTTGAACTATTATGAGCAATGGTTATTTTGACTAACTCTATAACAACTTCCATCGATTTTTTTCTCTTTAAAACCTTTATTTTTTTTATGGATTTTCTAACAGAGTTAGCCAAAAAACCTATTGCTTGACATCATAACAACTGCGGATTTTTAGTTTAGGAACCAAAATTCCAATTGGGCCAAAGTTTTGAACCATTGCTTTTGAATTCAAATAATCAACTAAGAAT